AGCGACGTGCGCGCCCCCGAGCGCCCTGCGGGCTCGAGCTGGCGCCAGTCGCGGCCCCGCTCGCGCGCGCTCACTCCCAATTCATCCACGATTGCTCAAGGGCGCGACCACGCCCTAAAAGCAAGACTCTCCACCAATCATTGCAGCCGCGTGGAGCATCACGGGAACTCCGGGGCTATAAAAGACCGAGTTGCTATTTTATACTCACCGAATCACTCATCCTTTAAGTGAGCTGGGTGGGGATGGGTGCGCCTGCGCCGTTTCAAAGCCCTGCCCCAAACTGCCAACACTTCGCGCAAGCGAAGTAGAGCTTCCTTGCCTGATATTACGCGTGCGCACCTACAGGCCTAACCCCGGAAGACCATACGCTTGCGCAGTGAGAACTACGGTGACCGCACACCCGGTGGGGCGCTGGCCAGTCATGGCGGAACCTTGGTCTGGGCAGTTTTTGCAAGCTCTGCCCGCTATGGTGCTCGGAGCGCTGGGCACCCTGGGCAGCGAGTTCCTGCGGGAGTGGGAGACACAAGACATGCGAGTGACTCTCTTCAAGCTGCTCTTGCTGTGGTTGGTGTTAAGTCTCCTGGGCATCCAGCTGGCGTGGGGGTTCTACGGGAACACAGTGACCGGGTTGTATCACCGTCCAGGTGAGGCTCCCTACGAACCTCCGTGGCCTGGCTGCCCCTACCACCATCAAGCTGTACCATTTGTTTCTCCTGTGTCCGCGTAAACGGCCACTGATCCTCCAGAAGCCTCATACCCAGACTTACGCCCCCATATCATTTTACACCAGAATCCCCACCTGTCCATCATCACATTGTAACTGTTTCTCAAAAGCCCTTGCCAGAAAATACTACTAGTCCCTAGCGTCCCATCCCCAATCGTTTAAACTGTACTGGTGGCCCCTGACCTGACCTGAGCTAATGCCTGCTCAGATCCCCACCCTCAGCCTCCTGCAGCTCTGGGTGTGTTCCTGCCTCCAGGTCTGGGTGGCCAGAATGGATCCACACCTGATGGCTCCACACATTTCCCTTCATGGTGAGTAAATCTCTGTCTATCCCAACCCCATGCTTGGCAGGCAGAGGACACTCCAGTGCTGGTGACAGGGAAGAGAATTCTCAGGATGTGAGTGCACCAGCTTAGTGGCCTTTGCAAGAATCCTCCAATTCTGCAGGTAGAGCTCAGGATTGGAGTTGGGTGTTTACCGGTGCCTGTACAGCCTCTTATCAGCATATTCAGTGGGGATGGATGGTGGTGGTGCTACCATCACTTTAGAAAGATGAAGTGGCAGGTCTATTGGAAATAAATCCCTTGGTTGGGAAGTCCTTCATTAGGAAAGCAAGAGCATCTGTCCTAAGCAAGTACTGTAACATTGGAGCTATAACTCCCAACCTAACAGCCTCTATTCTTAGCACACTACCTCATCAAGTCAGCCTCCTAATCTCTGAAAAAAAGAAAAAAAAAAAAAAAAAACAGCTTACTTATCAAGATATTTCATTCAGCCAGTCTCTGAGCTTCTACCAGGTCACAGCAGGTCCAGAAAACAAGGACAACCCAGACTCTGCATACAGGGGAAGCAAGAGATTTAGAGGGGAAATAAGTACAAGTGCAAAGCTGCTCAGGGGAGCCCCCCATCCCCACACACCATAACACCTAAACTGAGACCAGAGAGAGAAGACAGCACAGTTTTCTGGTAAGAAAAAAAAAAAAGGTAAAACAGGCCCATTGCAAGGACAAATGTGACACTGGGAAACACTAGAGCATAGGAGGACCCTAGAGCAATGAAGGACTGATGCAGCAAGACAGTGTGGCCTGATCTAATTTGCCTTTATGACTGCCTGCTTAATGGCAAGTATTCGTGGATAGACTATTCTGCTATCCATGAAGTAACCTTGCTTCTCTCCATTATTTTCAGGGAAATGGCAGCAAATGAACCTCTCAAAACCCACAGAGAATAAGGGAAGGCAGCAGCAGAAGGGTCTCCAGAGACATCACTGGGTCTGCTGGCTCCTATGTTGCATCCTGCTGCTGCCCAGACCCCCTTGGACAACTGCAGGGGGCTTGGGGTTGGGGGACTGGAGTACCACAGTGCTTCCAGGGTGAGCCCCCATTGTCTCCAGCCTTGCTTCCAACAGCGCCAGGTACTGGGCAGGTGAAGTTCGTCTCGACCCTGGTGTGTTGCCCTGAGACTTCTGTCAAGGGTCAGAGCTGAGAAGCATTCTGGTTGGGGAGGTCAGCAGTCCCTTTTTCACTGTCTTTTTCCTGCCCATGTCCTCATGCCCTTGGGATATGATCTTATAGAGATTGTCCTTCTAAGAGAATCTTGAGGATAATCAGTTCTAAGATTTATAAGGCAAGTCTGTTCTCCCCTAAGCCCTGATTTCCTTGGCTTTGCTTTGTAGGCAAGAAGCCAGCAAATCCTGGCTAGACTAGAGCACCAAACATGTACCTGGCCCAACTAGTCTTCTAGATCTGAGGCAGGCAGAGGAAGTTATCATTTCCTAACTGACCTATTTCTCTGTTCTGTGGGGGCAAGTTGAGTACCTGAAAGACAGAGTGCACTAAGAGTCCCTGGTATTAGCTACTGTCTGCACTGCTCAAGTGCCCATGGGGTGTTTTGGTTTGTACCTTGTCCCCTCCTAGGAGTCATTGTGCCCTACCTCCTTATCACTTCCCATCTTGACAAGGGCCTCATCTTAAGAGCCTGCTAGTATCATTTCAGCCCTTAGGAATATCAGTAAGAGTGAGCCACAATCCAGATAGCCCTGGGCTCTTCACAGTGGATCGGAAGAGGTTCCAAAGGGGTGGGTGGCAAATGTCCCCAGGAAAACACCATTTCCTGAGATCACTATGGTTCCTAAAAGCACTGTGGCCCTGGATCTGTCTTCTCTAATGGTTGTACTTCTGCCTGTCTCTGCTGGTCACTAGCTACCTCAGACGCCCCACTGTCTCTGTTAAATGTCACACAGCCTTCTGGCAACCTTTGTCTACAAAGACTGTAGCAGGTGTACTATAAACGAAACCGTACTGAGCTCCTCATACACAAGTACCTACTCCAGCAATGCATCTGTATGGCAGAAAGATGTTCTTCATAGCCTCAGGTCCACCCACTGACATCACTGCAAAGAGTCAAGGTCTCACATTCCACCCCAGGAGCAACTGAAGATGTGGCATATTAAACACAGAAGTGTATCAGTTGTGTGGTTAATTCCAACAGCACAAGGGTGTGTGCACATGGGCAACTGGTAAGGGATCTTGGGTGTGCTGTCCTCAGTAATTTGCAGAGGTGGAGAACTGATGCCAGCTCCCTAGGGTGGTGGTAGGTTGTCCAACAGGGGCAATATCCCCATTAGTTTTTTGGGATTTGGGAGTGGGGGGGATTGGGAGAGTTGAGTTAGTGTCTCATGTTGTCCAAGCTGGCCTTCAATTCAACATATTGCTGAGGATGACCCTGAACTCCTAACACTTTTGTCTCCAACTTGAAGTGCTAGGATTACAGGGGTATGTCGCCACACCACTTCTATATCTCTGTTAGTTCTTATATACATGGCCCCTTTCAAGGAGAGCCTCTCAGAACCTGTGTTGGAAGCCAAGAAGACAAGTATTGGATTGGCACCCCAGGAACCCAGTGAACAAAAGAGCAATAAAGCTAGAGACCATGGCAAGGAAGAAGGAAGGAAACTTTCTTATGATTTATTTTTATTTTATATGCATTGGTGTTTTGCCTGCATTTATGACTGTATGAGAATGTCAAATCACTTTGAGCTGGATTACAGACGATTTTAAGCTGCCATGTGGGTGCTGGGAATCGAACCAGGTCCTCTGGAAGAGCAACCAGTGTTCTTAACCACTGAGCCATCTCTCCAGCCCCAGAAGGACACTTTTTTTGATTTTTTTTCCCCCCAAGAGTTAGTAAAGTACAGTTATTCACAACAAGAGCTAAGGTCAGCCCAAGTACCAAGCCTGCCATGTCCTGCCGCTTCACAACAGGCTGAGCTGACTGGGGAATGTGGAAGGGTGAGTCTGTGTTTGCTCAGCCAGCCCTGAGTTGGCTCACAGGAACAACTCGGCCAACACTGAGTCAGAAGTCATTCTATCCAAGGAAAGGCAGGGTGCGCATTCATGGGGAGCAGAGGGGAGGAGGTACCTAAGCTCACACTGCCCACAGTAATAGCCCTTTGAAACTAGAGAAACCATGGTGAGGTAGGTTGGGCAGGTGTTATCCTCCAAAGGCAGATGTTTGTTCCATAGCCAGCACCTGGCAGAATAAGGTTAGTGGGATTGCAGGCTAAAATAGAACATTAATTAAGGTGATTTGTTATTTTAAAAAACTGGGCCCTAAAGTTAGGATGGCTTGATGGAGAAGAATAGATGGGATGTTCTCCCGACCCTAACCAGACCACAGCAAACACCATTCAGCTTCCACCCCACCCGCACCCGTCAGTTCTGCCCCACTGTTCTGACTCAGCACTATGGAATGCCTGGGGGGGGCGCGCTTTTCCATGGGCCATCTTCACTTGAGAGTATAGTAGTTCGTGGGCACAAAGGGCATTTTGCTAACCACCGTCGTTTGCTGCTTCCGCCGAACCTCCACCAGCAGCTGTGTCCCCGGCCGACTGTACTTTGACGGCACATAACCCATTGCCACATTCTTCTTCAGGCTGGGTGAAGGGCAGCCACTGGTCACTGTGCCTGTCCAGGCATAGGCCATAGGTTAACACCACCCTGCCAGCCCAATATCCCTACCCTGGACACCCTGCCAGCCAATGTCCCCATCCTAGACCACTCACCAATCACAGTGCCTTCCGTGCTCAGGATGGGACTGTGTGCTCTCATTGGGGCCCCTTCACATATCAACCCCACACGTCTCTTCTGCACCTCACCCTTCAGCTGGGGAACAATGATTTTGGCTCCTGGGAAGTCCATGGCAGTTCGGCGGCGCTTTCCTGGAACAGAATACACCAGATGTAAGCCATAACAAAGCCCTGGACACAGAAAGTCTTTACTACCAAGGTCCCAAGTGTCATCCATCAAGCCTCACTTGGGCTCTATTCTTCCCCTGCACTACAGTGAGTCAGTCAACCATCTCCTACCCCCTGGAAGCCATACTTAGGGCCCTCAGTTTATAATAGGGAAGCCACGGTAGCACCTTCAGGGAATGAAGGCCCGGCAAGGCTGAGTTACTTGTTCCACCATATACAACTTTAGAAGTAGTTATGGGCTGGCTGGTCTCATTCAAAGGTGTTCTCATCTTCAGGACCCCTTGAAGGGTAGCCCAGCTCACCCAGTGTCCAGCTGAGGCTGCCTTCCACAGGCGTGGTCTGTTCATCAATGTCATTCCCATACAGACAGAGGCCTGCCTCCAAGCGCAGGCTGTCCCTGGCAGCTAGTCCTGCCAGCTTCACCTCTGGGTTTTTCAGCAAAGCAGTTGCCAAGTGGACTGCCCCTGCTGCTGGCACTGAGATCTGCACAAAGGACCAGAGAGCAGACAGGCAGTCACCCCTCTTGAATCCTGCATGTTTACCGTTTTTGGTTGTACGGAAGTGAAGCATTCTACCACTGCATTATATGCCCCATCTCCCCTGACCCCACCCCTCTTTCTGAGACAGGCAGCCCAGGCTGACCTGTAACTTCCAGGGTGCTGGGATCATAGGCATGTGCCACCCCATGCCAAGCTTTACAACTGTATTTTTTGTTTTGGGATTTTGTTTTGGCTTTATTTTCTCTGGGATAGGCTCTCATTATGTAGCCTTGTTTAGCTTGGAACTTACTATGGAAACCCAGCCCACCGTGAACTAAGATGTTCCTGCTTCTATCTCCATAAGCACTGGGGTTACAGGTGTGAGAAACCATGGGGAATAACTACTTCTCCACGTACCTCCACACCATCTTCTCCTGTGTAGCCACAGCGGGTCACGCGACAGCCAGACACACCAAACACCTCCATCACAGCACTGGTCATGAAGGGCAGTTTCCTCAGATCATCGGTCACACCAGCCTGCAGCACCCGAGCTGCAGTGGGTCCTGAGCCCAAAGAGAATGACCCAGGATCTCGGACCCAACACCACCTAGACTACAGCCCTTGCTTAGGAAGCAGAACAGGTCCCAAGTAAGCCCAACTGTGCAAGAGGGGAGAGGATGCCCTTGTCCCTAGCCTGTGGACAGTTTTGCAGAGAGGAGAGTCAAGATACTTAACTTTGGAATTATGGCATACAGATGTCACAGCACCATACCTTCCTCTTGGGATATTATCCATGTTAAGCAGCAAATAAAGTCAGGAGGGCCAGGGCTGGCTCTAGCCCCCACCTGGCACTCTTACCTTGTAGAGCTAACAGAGCGTTATCTACCACCTCCAGGCCTACATCACTGCCCCTGTTCTGGAACTCCTTGACCTTGTCCTGAAATGAAAAACAGGAACCTATCAGTGTTTGAAGCCATTACTGAGCACCTACCATGGGTTGGACACTGCAGAACTGGGCAGTTAGATAGCAGGCTGGTTACCATCTTACAAGTCCCACAGCTGCTAAATGGTAAGGATGACCTAAGCCCAATTCTGTCACCTCACCTACCCTTACCATTGGATGCTCATCTCAGGGTCAGGGTCAGCTTTATCTTCTCCCTTCTCTAGTCCCCATCCCTAAACCCTGCTGTGCACCAGAGAGTACCTACTCGTCAGTCTATTGACTGATCTTTTATTAATTCATTTTCTGAGCCCCTATCTACACTGGGCACTGCTTTATAAACAAAGAATACCAAGTACCTAGAATAAAAGGCAGCTATACCTGCATGAGAGCCAAGTCCTTGTCCCAGCAGCCAGCGTTGGACACGACATACAGGTGCCCCTCCGAAGTATTGGTCACAATCAAGTCATCTAAGATGCCTCCAGCTTCGTTGGTAAACAGGGACAGTATTCCCTAGCAGTAAAACAACATCCTTGTCTCCGAGTCCAGGAAGCCAAAGCCAAGTGTGAGCCAGAAACATTCTTAGATTCACTCAGTTTCCACAAATTCATGAACACAGTTCTGTGCAAGGTAAGGCTCAAATCTAGGGTCTTGGATTTTCATTTGTCAAGTAAATTTTTACTCCTCCCACTTTAGGGGACCTCCCCAGGTGAGTGGGACCTTTGGCTCCCTCACTACTCAATTCTTAGAAATCCATTTCATGCTCTATGACACCTAGGAATTACTGTTTCACCCTATCCCAGTATCTCCACCCATGTGCCAACCTCCAGGATAAAGACTCAAAGCCTCAAAGACCATCTTCATGATCCCATAGGCTCCCAGCATTCTTTCTTTCTTTTCTTTTTTTTTTTTTACAATTTATTTATTTTTATTTTATGTGCATTGGTGTTGTCTGCACATGTGTCTGTGTGAGGCTCTCAGATCTTGGAGTTATAGACAGTTGTGAGCTGCCATGTGGGTGCTAGGAATTGAACCCGGGTCCTCTGGAGGAGCAGTCAGTGCCCTTAACCACTGAGCCATCTCTCCAGCCCCGCTCCCAGCTTTCTTTAGCAATGGTTTCAAAACACTGTAAGGCTGGCCTTCTCCTTCCAACCAGATGGCCAAACTCTGAGATTGACAAGTCACGTGAACCACCTAGAGATCTTATAAAAACTCAAGTGCTGGCTCAGCAGGTCAAGAGCAGTGCCTAAGCATATTCCTAAGACAGTCCTAGAAAATGGAGAGGCTGCTGGTTTAGGGATCATGCTATGAATGTCGAAGGTATGGGCAGCATGAGGAGTCAAAGCATATAAACTCTGGTTTTTGGCCTTTCAAAACCAAATGTAGTAAGACTGGGGTAGTGCTTTTCCAAAGCTGGCTGGATATCTGGAAATGACCCAAAGACTCCTTCAAGATAGCAAGCCCTGAGCAGCTACATCTGACCTATCTTTGTGCCTCCTAAGCTTGAGACAAGAACTTAGCATTGAGAAGAATAAAATGGGCCCACCTGGTTCGGCCTTAGTTCCGCGATGTCTCCAACCACCATACTTTCCATCAGCTTCACTCGGTCACAACCAAATATCTTGGTCTGGGGAAAATATGGAAAGCCTCGGGCCACTGCATTATCTGCAGTCTAAAAGGCTGCTAGGTAAGAAAGCATCCTTCAGTTGTCCATACTATAGTTCAGCCCAGAAGTGACTGACTATAGTCTTTGGGTTCTGGAGATAGCATTTCCGATATCTCTCCCAGCCTCCTGGGACTGAGTACAATCTAAGAATCCAAGGGGACCTAGCACCTTGCTAAGATACCCAACCAATTTCCAAACCAATACCCAGCACAGCAGATGAGAGGAGGTACAGGTCTAGCAAAGCCAAGGGCAGGAGAGACCAGAGATAAGCAATCAGAAGACCTGAGTTAGCCAGCCCTCCAGTGTTCCTAACACTGCACTCTGAGAAATCCTCCCACAAAGCTGAAGAGGACTGTATAGGTGGGGAGGAAGGCCAGATCCCGCCCCGGCTCACCTGCAGCATGTGGGACACATCAAAGAGAGAACAGTGCCGGCGTGTGTGCAGGTGTGAAACAACGTGACTGTCCTGGTATTGTACAGGCAGACTCCACCCCGCAAACGCCACCATTTTTCCTCCATGGGCCAGGTGGAAGTCATAGAGTGGAGTCCTGCGGAGCACATCCTGTGGACAGCCAGGCTTAAAGCCACCAGGGCCCAGTGCCATCGGCTTCCTCCCCCACCCTCCAAGACCAGTAGCAGACCCCAGTGCCCTTCATCCCACCTGGACGCAACTGAGCGGGCGGCCCTGGACCAGGGGCTGTGCCTGCAGACGAAAACCCAGAGGGGCCACCACGCTCACTGTCCGCTGCATTGTCACCAGCAACTGGTGCAGCCGGCACACCAAGGCCACTACTCTGCCAGGCACGCTGGGAGATGTAGTCCGACCCCCTGCTTGGACAGGTCTTTCTAGCCTGCAGGGGATAGGAAGGGGGGTGGGAAGCCCATAGGGCGGCTGGGATTTAAACAGAGAGCTGACTCCTGATGGCCTCAGGCTCTTCCTCTAGCTAATAAAAGCAAGTCAGGCAGTTCAGAGCAGAACAAGCTGCCTAGAACCAGAATTGGGGGTTAGACCGCCCAGCCTCCAGGAGGTCAAAGTTCTGCAAATGGCTGAAAAGCCGGAATTACACATTCAGGTCAAATAGCCGTGGGAGGTGGAGCATTCACTAGAGGGTGAAACCCTCTGGGCAGGCACAGTACCATCGTGGCCTGTCTTCTTATTGTGATCTCTTGATCTCCCACTGGGCACACACAAGCAGCAAACACAGTCACATAGTCCACAAGTATTTATTATCTTGCTGCACGGTAGGTCCAGTGCTGGGGTTTTGGAACACAGGGATGAATTACGCATGCTCTCGGCCACCCCGGAATCCTGTTTACTCATGCATGCTGCAGACCATTGTTCCCTGAACACAGCACTGTGGTGAGCACCCTTTCAGCAAAAACGGAATAGGCTTAAAGGATGATCTTGCAGGTGAAGACACTACCTTCAAGAAGGCTGATTGGCAAGAATGAAGGGTAGCTACCAAAAGCTAGACTTTTCCAAAAAACTGTTGCACATACACATGTTCAATTTTCCAGGTCCAAGACACCGTGCAGCACCGCTTTATAATAGTTCCCAGGGACACTGTCAGGAAGAACTAGCGGGAAACTGGGTTTTATCACAGGCAAGAGCAGCAGCCTTCATCATTTAGTGGTTGCTCTGGGGCGGTGGAGGACCTCAGCCTCTCAAGGGCATCAGTGAAACCTTCACTTGGACTCACTACCCCCAAGGTTGATCTCGCATCATCCTAAGCGTGACTGGCAAGGAGCAACTGGGAAGAGGGTCATTGACGTGCTTCCTGCTGAAGCTGATGACAAGTAGACTGGAGGTCTCATTCTCAGGCCCCAGCTGTGCCAAAAGCACCTGTCCAGAACTGACGGAGAACACATTTCAGGAACCAGCTCAGAGGCTCAAGCACTCACGGTCCCCCAAACCCCAGCTCTGCCTCCCAGGCCAGTAATAGACACATTTATTTAAAGAGGAGCATTTTCTTTTTCTTCCCCCATCCCCTAAAGACAGAGTCTTCCTGTGTATCCCTGACTGGCCTGGGATTCACTGTGTAAAACCAGGATGGCCTGAACTCACAAGTGCTGACGTTAACGGTGTGTGCCACCATGCCAGGATCTAAGACATTTTCTTTCTTTTTTCTTTGTTTTGTTTTGTTTTTTGAGACAGGATTTTCTCTGTATAGTTTTGGTGCCTGTCCTGGATCTCCCTCTGTAGACCAGGCTGGCCTCAAACTCACAGAGATCCACTTGGCTCTGCCTCCCGAGTGTTGGGATTAAAGGTGTGCACCAACACTGCCCCGAGACATTTTCTTTTTTATGGATATAATACAAAAGAAAAAGGCCACCGGCAGAAGCAGAAGAATGAATAGGGGGCATCTCTTCCTCAAGCTTCCCAGGTCATGAGTGTTGAAACAGCAGTGGCCTTCCTAGGCTACATGAAACAGGTTTATCTCAACATGGGGAAAATGGTAGACGACGGGTGTGCGTCCTGGCAGGAGGGGCAGGACGGTTCTAAGTAGAACCTGTAACTTCAGAGAGGAAGAAACTGAATTTGCATGTCAAACAAAGACAGAAAGTGCCCCCACTAAGAATTCATGCTAAAACGAGGTGAACTCAAAAATTCCTTTGACCCAGATAAAACTTGGATGTGGAGGGAACACACTTCAGCCTCCAGTGGCCAAACCACGCCTTGATGGGCCCAGAAGGCCAATGTCTCAAGTAGAAGCTGCTGCTCATGTGTAGGAGAGCAAATTCAGATCGTAGCAGCCATCCACCTGCAACACAAGAGACTATCAGTTCCGAGCTGCGCAAAGCAAATAAGCCAAGCAGAAGGAAGAGATCACTCACATCAAAGCGGCCGATCCTCGTGGAAGTGTGACTAGCCCGAATCATCTCTGTCAGTGCCCACATCTGTTGTACTTCGGAGGATACTCTGCTGGGGTCTGGGAGACCCTGCTCCCGAAGGAAGAAATAGTGGTCATGAATTTCTCCCCAGCAGTGCCCTCAGAGATATAAGATATGGAGCACTTCAACTGGAACCAGTAACATTTCCAAATAACTTACAGAATGTGTGATTGGGGCCTGATGTTCATCCAGTAAGCAATTCATGCCTACACCAGAGATGACTCAGATCCCACAGAACACCCAAGAAGAAAAGAACCATGGGCCCTGGGTCCAGTCTCAAATTTTTGTGGTGTTGGAAATCAAACCCCAGGATCTTACCTTACCTAAAGTATTCTACCACTGAGTTACATCCCCAGCTGGCCTTAGGATAGCCAAGGCCCTTGCATACATTCTCTGGACATCAGAACCAAGTACATGTGGTTAACACCCAGGGTTAGCGAGCTTACCTCAAGGCGGGGAGTAGGCTGCTCACTGGACACTGGGTGGGAAAGCCACTTGGGGAAAGTCAAGGAGGGACTCTGCAAAGCAAAGGCATACTGTCCTAAGTGGGGCAGAATCTGAGAGCTCTGGCGCCCGAGAGCAAAGGCCCCTTGGACCTGAGACACTGGGAAAGCTCAGTGTAAGATCAAAGGGACGCTCATATTACCAAACTGTTCTGCTACACAGAAGGAGAACCCAGGAACATAAGCAAAAAATGTATATCCCAGCACCTAAAAGTAGTGGGTGGTCTCAAAGGTTAGGGGCTGCTAAGACAGAACCCCACCTTTGATTAGGAACTTGTGCGTTCACACTCCTCCAACATTCATGAAGGCTTCCTCTGAGTCTCTCTATCCTTGCCCACCACCCAGCCCAGTGCCCCATCTCTCCTAGCTTGCTAGAAGCGCTTTAGGTAAAGGGCTAGCCAGGAGGTCTTAGACAGTCGCTTACCTTCGGTCCCTGCTGGTAGATTTGCAGTTCCTCAACTGTGAAAGACAGCCACAGTGGTGATGGCTGCTGCAGTATCAGACGCAGCTCTAGTACTCTGGTCACATCACACAGCATCTGATACACATTAAAAAAAAAAAAAAAATGAGCCACTGAGCAGGCCTTGGTGGTGCATGCCTTTGATCTTAGCACTCTGGAGGCAGAGGCAGGCAGTTCCTTTTTCTGAGTTCAAGGCCAACCTGATCTACAAAACAAGTTCCAGGAGAGCCAGGGCTACACAGAGAAACCCTGTCCCAAACAAAAAATAAATAAAATTGAAAAAACAAAATAGTTGGGTGGTGGTGGCGCAAGCCTTTAATCCCAGCACTCAGGAGGCAGAGGCAGGCAGTTTCTTTTTCTGAACTCAAGGCCAATATGGTCTGCAGAGTGAGTCCCGGGACAGCCAGGGCTACACGAAGAAACGCTGTCTCCAAAACAAAACAAAACAAAACAAAAGATGACCCACTGAAGACTCAGCTCCCAATCAACAGTAAACCAAATGCTTCCCCAAGCCTTTGGGAAGGACAGAACAGTGGTCCCTCCAAAGCACCTGCGTCACAGCCCAGCCCAATTCTGCCCCACTCTTCCCTCCCGCTATTCTGCCCAATCCCTAGGCAGGAGGTCCTCATCTAGGATTCCCTGGCCATGCTGGGACCCAGCTGACCTGGTGCTTGAACAGTGATACATACTCCTGGGCTCCCTCCTCACTGTGTGGGTCAGGCATCAAACAGTAGTCCCGCAGACAAGTTACCCACTTGGATGGTGTGTGCAGTGGAGTATGTTGACGAACACGGATGCTCAAGAAAGCTGTGTAGTAATTCTTAAATGTGATCTCCTGCAACTAGAATACATCCAACCCACCATGAGAAATGAGGCACCTGGCACAATGACATAATCTTTCATTTGGAATTTACACTTTTGCTAAGCAAGTCAACAATTCCTGGGGCCAAATATAATTTTGCTTTCCTAAACATGCTCACAGTCCAGTAAGTCATGCAAACAAGCCATGCCAACATATCTGAGATGGTATCAGAGGTCAGAACCCTAACCCTGAAGAAAGCAGAAAATGGACATATGAAGCCTGAAAGGATGAGCTTGCTAAGTGGATAACAAAGGTAGGTAAGCAATACTTTGGGCTAATGATATAGCTCAGCTGCTCAGTGCTTGCCTTATCTAGCATGTTTGAAGATTTTTTTGCTAGATGCTCAGTACTGCATAAACCAGCTTCGTGATGCATACCTGTAACCCCAGTGCTTGGGAGGTAGAGGTAGAAGGATCAAAAGAGTTCATGATAAACCTCAGCTATTCTTGACCATTCTGGGACTCATAAGACCTCCCCCCCAACCCCAAACCCAAAAGTAGCATATTTTTAAAAATACCAGAGTGAGAGAACCTAAGACTCTAGTATGGAAAAGAATTGTAGTTCAACCTGGTAATAGAGGTTCTCTCCCTCTGTTTATCTCTCTGTCTGTCTCCATCTCTCTCTTAACTAAGAAGGAATTAGCATGCTAAGACCAGAATAAGAATAGTAGGATGGGGGCTGGAGAGATGGCTCAGAGGTTAAGAGCACTGACTGCTCTTCCAGAGGTCCTGAGTTCAATTCCCAGCAACCACATGATGGCTCGCAACCATCTGTAATGAGATCTGGTGCCCTCTTCTGGCCTGCAATCATACATGCGGTATACATAATAAATAAATAAAAAAAAAAAGAATAGTAGGATAGTTTGTTGAGCACACTGCAGTGGCATGGGGGAGGCAATGGGCAGACAGACCTACAGTATCAACTGCCATAGCAGTAGTTTTCATCACTGGACGCCCAGCAGAATCATCTATGAAACTTAAAAAAAAAAAAAAAAAAACAGGTATGGGGCTGGAGAGATTGCTCAGTAGTTAAGAGCACTTGATGCTCTTACAGAGAGCCAGCTTTGGTTCCCAGAACCTACATGGCCCCTTACAGCTGTTCATAACTCCAGTTCCAGGGGATCCAGAACCCTCTTCTGACCTCCACCAGTACTAGGTATGCACAAAGTACACAAGCATACATGCAGACAAAACACTCATACACATAAAACATTTAAACAAATAAAAATATAGATGTCAAAGAGCCACCTCCAACACACTGACTCAGATTTTCCAGGGGCAGATTAATTAGGTCTCCCCCAGCCAGTGGTAAGTAACATCTTGGGAGATAACCACATATTGTAACACAAAGCACACAAGGTCTTCAAGAGAGTAGGTGGGGCACAGTCACAGAATGCTGTGCCGTTAGAGGCAGGCTTTGTCCTGTGCTGAAGTCATGCAGTGTCCTGTCACCGTCAGCTGAGATGGATTAGAAACAAGTCACTAGGAAGACCTAGATGAAGGATGCGATGCACCTGACCTGAGGCAGGAGCCATTGGAATGGGGAAGTTTACATCATTATTTAAGGATCCCAGCTATGATCAAAACCAAAATACCCTCTCACTTGTTCTGAGGTTCATAATTGTATTTTCAGTGGTGTCCTGGACACGAGGAAGAGATGCTGCAGAGAACAGGACAGGAAATTCTAGTCTAATAAAGGCTGTACATGCTACTGAATAGGGCCAGTTCGCAAAAGCAAGGGGAACTGCAGAGGTTATGAACGAGTAAATGCCTGGGAAACGGTTACTAGGTCTTCCCCGCCCTTGGTCGCGCCTACTAGGGGGTCGCTCACCTCGAAAGGCGAGACGTTAGGAAAGGTGACATCGACGACCAGCACGCCAGGCCGACCTTGGTTGGTCCTCATGTCGCCCACTTGCAGGGCTACGGTGCTTTTCACATGACAGGGCACCAGTACACGAGACATGATGCTGGCGGCAGAGATCAAACGCAGTCACCGCTAACTGTCTCCAACTACTAGCCTTTACCGGCGTCACCTATCAAACCAAAAGAACTACAACTCCCAGGCAACTTAGCGCTTGCACAAGCCAGCCAATCACCAATGCTCAGGGCGGGTCGAGAGTCGGAAGTGTCTGCGGAAGTTCTTCCTCAACCAATCACCACGTGTCTGAGAGCCGCACCCCGGCCGCTCCCGGCAACGGTCGAGCCATTCGAGCCATTCTTTATCCAAAGGATCCAGAATGCTTTGGGCCCGCTTAAACCTTTCTTAGATTCTGCTGCTTTGTTAGGCCGGTAGTCAGTTAAGATATGTAAAGCCGTGAACACAAATGAGCATCACCCTGACATTAATCGAAAAAATGGGCAAAACATTTTAAAAAAGAGCTCATAGCTCAATTGGTAGCGTGCTTACCGAGCATACGGGAAGCCCTGGATTGATCCCGAGTACCCCAAAAAACTAGGGATGTTGCCTCAGGCCTCTAACTCCAGCTATTTTGGAGTCGGAGGAAGGAGGATAAGTTTAAAGTCTTCTTCAACAATGCTATGAGTTCAAGAATGCCCAAAGAAAAAAAGATACCCTATCTTAAAAAACATTGTAGGGGCTGGAGAGCTGGTTAAGAACACTGGCTCCTCTTCCAAAGGTGTTCCCAGCACCTGCATGGCAAATGAAAGCTGTCAGTAACTTTGGTTCCAGAGGATCCAACGCCCTCTCCTGACCTCCAAGGGCACTGAAGACATGTGTACATAGCTGTAACATGCAGGAAAAACACCAATACAAAATAAAAATACAAGAATCTTAAAAAACAAACAAACAAAAAAAAAAAAACAGCTGGGCAATGGTGGTGCACACCTTTAATCTCAGCGGCAGAGACAGGTAGATCTCTGTGAGTTCAAGGCCAGCCTGGTCTACAGAGCAAGTTCCAGGACAGTGAAACCCTGTCTCAAAAAACAATCAATCAATCAAACAAACAAACAAAAATTAGCCCGGGTAGTGGGGCACACCTTTAATCCCAGCTCTAGGGAGGCAAAGGTGGGCAGATCTCTGTGAGTTCCAGGACAGCCTGGTTACAGTTCCTGTAACCCTATCCCAAAATAAAATAAAAGCAAAAAAGGTAACTTTTTAAAAAAGATGGTGTAAACTCGAGGGTGGTGGCACACACCTTTAATCCTAATACTCGGGAGGCAGAGGCAGGTGAATCTTTGAGTTCGAGGCCAGCATGGTTTACAGAACAAGTTCCAGGACAGGCTCTAAAGCTGAACAGAGAAACCCTGTCTTAGACAAAAAGAAAAAAAGAAGAAGAAAAAAAAAACAAAAAAACAGATATTGGGCTGGAGAAATAGCTCAGTAATTAAGAGCACTGGCTGCTCTTCCAGAGGCCCTGAGTTCAATTCCCAGCAACGACATGGTGGTTCACAACCATCTGTTACAGGATCTGATTCCCTCTTCTGGTGTGCATGAAGACAGATCACTCATATACATAAAATAAATAAATATTTTTAAAAAAGAAAAAAGATATTTATGCTATGATTCATAACAGTGGCAAAATCATAGTTATGAAGTAGCAACGAAAATAATTTTATGGTTGGGGATTACCACAACATGAGTAACTGTATTAAAGGGTCGTAGCATTAAGAAGGTTGAGAACTACTGTTCCAGAGGACCTGGATTCAATCCACAGTATCCACACGGTGGCTCACAATTGTCTGTAATTCCAGTCCAAGGGAATCGGCATCTTCTCCTGGACCTCTGAACAATTACTTTTAAAAAATACAAACCAGATCAGATAAAATGGTGCAATCTTTTAATCCCAATACCAAGGGGTCAGAGGCAGAAGTAGGCTAATCACTAGGAATTTGAAAATTGAAGTCTACAAAGAGCACTGTCTAAAAAAAAGAAAGAAAGAAAGAAAAGACATGTGCTGTGTGGTGATTTACTCCTGTAATCCTAGCTATACTGTAAAATTTAGTTTAAAAAATAAATTAAGAAGCCAGGCATGGTGATCCTTTACTTAACCTAGGATTTGGGAGGTGAAGCAGAATCAGAAAGATCAGAGGATCAAGGCTAATCTCAATTATGTACTAAGTGTCAGGCTAGCCTGGGTTGTGTAAGGTCCTACCTAAAAAAGGAAGAAAGCAAACCAGCAATAAATATGTTGGTTGGGGAAGAGACAAGTAATTCGTTTGGAATTTGTTTGGATTTTAAGACAGGATCTCACTATGGATGTGGCTGAGGCTAGCCTCAAAGATCCGCCTGCCTCTGCCTCCTAAATGCTGGGATTGAAGGTGTGCACCACCATGCCAATCTACCAAGCTTTTATTTTACTTTTTATATTGAGACACTTGGGAGCATTTAAGATACTGAAGTATACAGTCGGTCGGTGGTGGCCCACGCCTTTACTCCCAGCACTCGGGAGGCAGAGCCAGGCAGATCTCTGTGAGTTCAAGGCCAGCATGGGCTACAGAGTGAGTTCCAGGAAAGGCGCAAAGCTACACAGAGAAACCTTGTCTCAAAAAAACAAAACAAAACAAAAAAGACACTTGAAGTATAGGAATCAGGAATTTGAGGCCATGAAGCAGGAGACATAGCTTAGCAGTTAAAAGCCCTTGAAGCTTTTCCCGAGGACTGAGTTTAGTTTACAGAATTAAACTCAAGCTGGTCACAACTGCCTATAACTACAATGCCCTCTTCTGGCCTCTAAGGGGAAATTTATACTTGTGCACATACCCCTACACGGACACACATACATACATATAATTTAAAATCAAGCCAGGCAATGGTGGCACACTCCTTTAATCCCAGCACTAGGGTGTTGGGGAATATTATTTTAAAGTGTGTTACTTTTGTTTATGTTGCATTTGTTTAATTCTGTGAAGCTGTGTTATTACTGTACCTAGCTAAAACACCCACTAATAGTCTAATAAAGAACTGAACGGCCAGTAGCAAGGCAGGGGAAAGGATAGGCGGGGCTGGCAGGCAGAGAGAATAGATAGGAGAAATCTGGGAAGAAGGAGGAGGTAGCCAGAGAAGAAGGAGGACTCCCGGGGTCAGCCACCCAGCTACACAGCAAGTCACCAAGTAAAAGTAAGATTTACAGAAGTAAGAGAATAGGAAAAGACCCAAGGAAAAAGGTAGATGGGATAATTTAAGTTAAGGAGAACTAGCAAGAAACAAGCCAAGCTAAGGCTGGACATTTATAAGTAATAATAAGTCTCTATGGGTGATTTATTTGGAAGCTGGGTTGCAGACCCCCAAAGAGCAAAAACAACCAACAACACTAGGGAGGCAGAGGCAGGCAGATCTCTGAGTTCAAGGCCAGCCTGGTCTACATAGGAGTTCCAGGGACAGCCAGGGCTACACAGAGAAACCCTGTCTCAAAAAATAAAAAAACAAACCCCCCAAAAATTGAAAGAAAGGAGTAGGAAAAATGGCTCAACGGTTAAAAGCACTTGCTGCTCTTGCAGAATAGAGTTTTGTGTATAGATGTTTTTTCTGCATATACATGTATATGCCATGTGGGTACCTGATGCCTGTAGAGACCAAAAGAGGGCATCAGATCCTCTGGAACTGGAGTTACAGATGATTATGAGCCACCATGTGGATGCTGGGAATTGAACTCAGGACCTCTAGAAGAGCAGCCAGTGCTCTTAACCACTGAGCCCTCTCTCCAGCCCCCACAGCTCTTCTTTGAAAAACCCACATCTATGCTCTCAGGTGTGTCATGTCTTTCCTTTTGAGTACTTTCCTTTTTCCTAACCCTTGTGTTTAATAGTTTATTAAAATATCTTTATTAGTTGGGTGGTGGTGGTGCACATCTTTAATTCTAGCACTCAGGAAGCAGAGGCAGGGAGATCTCTGTGAGTTCAAGGCCAGTCTGGTCTACAGAGCATGCTCCAGGACAGCCAAGGCTACACAGAGAAACCCTGTCTTAAAATAAAAAAAAAAACAAAAAAACAAAAAACTTTATTAGCCATCACTAGTGGGCTTTTATTCCCAGCACTCGGGAGGCAGAGGCAGGGGTATCTCTGTGAGTTCAAGGCCAGCCTAGTCTACAGAGTGAGTTCCAAGACAGCTGGAGCTACATAATGAGACTTGTCTCAAGAAAAAAAAAACTTTATTAAACACCAACTCACATTTTTTTAAGAGTGGAAAATTTTGTCACCATAAGCCTATAATCCCAGAAGTTAGGATGTAGAGGCAGGAGGATCAGGAATTCAAGCAAGTTCTAGGCTGACCTTGGCTGCCTAAGACCTTGTCTTATAAGGGGCTAGAGATCCTGGGAAATGGTTCAGTGAGTAAGAAAGAGCACTTGCTCTGCAAGCTTGAGGACCTGAGTTCAAATCCCCAGAACCCATGTTTAAAAGATAAAATATCTGAGCATAATTGTGCATGCCTGTAACCCTAGCATTTGGGAGGGTGGAGACAAGTAGATTCTGGGAGTTCAGTGGCCAGCCAGCCTACCCAAAACAGAGAGCTTCTGGCTCAGTGAGAGACTGTATTAAAAGAATAAGGCAGGCTGGAGAGATGGCTCAGAGGTTAATAGCACTGGCTGTTCTTCCAGAGGTCCTGAGTTCAATTCCCAGCAACCGCATGGTAACTCACAACCATCTACTACGAGATACGGTACCCTCTTCTGTCCTGCAGGCTGAACATTCACTGTATAAATAAATAAATAAAATCTTAAAAAAAAAAAAAAGAAAGAAAAAGGCAGACAGGCATGGAAGAAGATATCCAAGTCCTCCTCTGACCTCCAAATGTTGGAGCACAGGCATGTGCACCCACATATCCACACGTACATGTGCATTGCACCAACAACATATACACATACATGTGCATTGTACCAAACAACATATACACATACATGCACAAAATTTTTTTAAATTAAAGTTTAAATAACATATTTTTTAATTATGTAAGTTACTAAGAAATAGCAAGCATGAGAGATGTAAACCAAATTTTACCTGTGTCGAAGAAGAAATAGAAAGCCATTGTTTCTGGGTTAAGCTCTTACACTATGTCCCAATAGACTAGGCTAAAAATAAAAAATGGAGTCAGTCATACTAAAGT